GCTTTCTGGAGAGGGGAGGGTCTGATAGGACCGCCTGCTCATCTCCTGGGGTCAGAGCTCCCTGCTCTTTCTCCCCACTCCCTCAGGCCTCAGAGTGGGGGCTCGGCGAAGGTGCCCAGCCCAGCTTTTCTCAGTCAGCAGACAGCCTGCACTGGCCTGCTGTATCATGCCGAGTGACACACACACCCAGAAGGCTAGGCACCACGGCCCGGGGGGGGGGGGCGCACTAACCCTTAGGGAGCAGAGAAAAGAACATAGCAACAGACCTTTCTCACCTGGAGACCCCAAGGACTTCTGCTGGGCAGAATGGGGGACTTCAGACCGTCTTCAACCTGCCTGGACCTCTGAGGGTCCAGGAAAGTAAAAGATGAAGCTGTGAGGTCCCAGCCCCCTGAATCCAGAGGGAGAAGAAGAAGAGGGGTATTCTCTTACACCACCCTCAGCCATCTGGACTTTAACCCTCCACCTTTGGTGACTTGGGACATGTAGATGGGGTGGGACTTAAGTATCTGTCCCTTCGACACTTGTTCGATTACAAGGTGACAGCTGAGGAGGCCAGGGGAGGCACAAGAGATGCGGTTATTTTGGGCTTTTCAGTGACATAACTCCAATTTGATCATTGCCTCTTGAGGTTGGGGGGTGGCTCCTTTAGAACGTGTCTGTAGGAGAGATTAGGAAGAGGGCTTGCTTTTTATACCTGCTCCCAGCTCTGACACCTTCCAGAACTCCCATCCCCAAAGACCCCAGGCTTTCCTGAGAGTACTTCTCTCATAGCCCTCACAAACCAGCACAGGGTGGTGAGGGTCAGGTACACACCCAACAGCTCCATCTGGGTTCTGCACTCCTTGGTTCCCTCTGCCCCAGGCTGGAGAAAACAACTCCCCACATCCATCTTCGGTTAACCCTTCACTTCTCTGAAAGTATCATCCTATCCCCATTTTACGGATAGGAAAACTGAGGCTCAGCGATGTCATCTGACTCAAGGTCGCCCAACCTCTACCTGGAAGAGCATAATTTTGATCTCAGATGTTGTCGGGTTCTGGAGGGGGCGGTGGTGGTATGAGCGTGGCTGTAAACACAACCTGAGACACCCTCTGGCCCCAGTTTAACGGACAAGCTGGTTAGGAATGGTGAGAGATCAGGTTCCCAGGCTTCTCACCCCAACCCCTAGATGGATGGCCATGAGGACAGCTCCAAGTTTGTGGGGAGGGGTTCACCAAGTTTCTAGTAAAGTCCTCAACTCCCACGCCAGGGTTTTGACCCACTGGTTTCGATACAGTGGCCGAACAGTCCCCAGGTGCCCTGCCAATAGGTTCTCCAACCGTGGGAAGGATGGCAGACAGAGTAGGGATGTTGATACCGGCTGGATGGGGGTCAGGGACTCGGGAGAGGAGGTGCGTGGACAGTGTGGAGGTTTCCAGGCAGGGCAGCGGCTGTGGAGGGTCGTTGGCACTGGGGAGCAGGTTTGGGTGCAAGCAGCGAAGCATAGTGCTGGGGAAGGGGCTGTTCATCTGGAGGTTGAAGGCTGCGGCAGTGACTCTAAGGCGACATCCGTACCCCTAGTCTCTGGCTCTGCGGGACTGAACCGGCTCGGATTCCTCTACAGCCAAGTTGCTACAACTTTACGGGCTGCACCGCTCCGGGTTCGTGCGCGGGGCCTAAGGCGCAGCCAGAGGGTCAGGGGCGCACTCTGCGCGTTGGCGTGAGAGAAGCGCAATGTCGCCAGCCGGTCGCCCGCGGAGTGGCCAGGGTCCCACGGGCCCAAGCTCGGCTTCGGGCCACGCTGCGACGCAAGATCCCCGAGCTTCACGCTTACCTGCCCGGCCCGGCTCGTCCGGCGTTCCGGGGCTGCACCCGCCACCGCCACCACCGCTGCCGCCTCGCCTCCGTCCTTCAAGCTCTAAGTTCGCTCTCGGATTGAAATTCCTCCCCAGCTTCGCCCATCGATCTGCGCGCGTGCCCCGCCCCTCGCCGCGCGGCCTGGGAGGGGGGTTCGAGGGGGGGCGCTGGTTCCCGCCGCCCGCCCTCCTTCCCCTCCCCCGCCCGCCCTCGCCACCAGTCGGCTCCCTCCACCCGCTCCGCCGGCGCTCAGTCCGGCTGCGAGAGCCGCGCGCCCTCCCTCCTCCCCGCCTCCCGGTCCCCTCTGCGCTGCCGGCTTGTATCGCCCTCAGGATCCGGCTCATGGGAGCTGGGGATCGAGGAGGAAACTGCGGGGGAGGGGGGCACCTGACCGTCCCTCCTGCACGTCTAAGTAGGAGGGGGCATCTGCTGCCTCAGCAGGGGCCTCGCGCGACCCCATCACCACCAACACACCAAGACCTTGTCAGGAGCCAGGTCTTCCGGTGTAACTGGCCCAGATCCCAGACAGCTGGGACCTAGGGACGCAGAACGACACTCCTGGCTCTGACCCCCATCCTTCACTCGCTCACCCCAACCTCTGAGAGGACTTCAAGGGCTCTCCAGCACCCCCTCCAGCTTAGCCTACCATTCCCGATGTGCGCCTGCTTGTGAGGAAGCCCCAGGAGAGAAACCGAGTCAGGAGAGGCTTGCCCCAGGTCACCAGGCCCAAGAAGACCCCTAGCTAGGCTCGGAGCCCTACAGACTCCTCCTCACTCTGGCCAGGACACTGAAGACAGCGTCCTGGATAAGTCCTGTTGGCAGCCCCACCGGTGCCTCCGGCAGATCTCTTCTCCCCACACAGCCCATCTCGTCCCCACGCGGCGCCCCCTCCCCATTTCCTGTCCCCCGCCCGCCCGCTCCTGATTCCCGGCCTCAGTACCCCCTGCACGCTCTCTCCGCTCCTCCTCTCCTCGCCAGCAGCTGGGCAATTCACCGAGCATACAAAAGAGTTGACTCAATTCAGTGGCTGAGCAAATCAAGATAAATCCTATAGTGTGTGGGGACCGAAGAAGGAAAGTGAATGAACGCCCACAGCACCATCCAGTCATGTGTATGGACTGGCCCTGCTCTGGGGGTAACAGGGCTGGGCTCCCTCCTGGCCTGGGCACCTACAGGAGCTGGAAGTGGGGTGGTGGGCTCTTAGCTATCTTCCCCGTGCCAGGCCTTCAAGCACTGAATGAACTTGGAAATTGAGGGCAGGGCTCCTAGGAAGGGATACCCAATGTGGGCAAAGACTGTGTCTTAGAACTGTGCAACCAATATGATCAGGTTAGATCTGAGAGGGCAGCAGGACCCTTGGGCCATCGGAGATGTACGTAGTTTCCCAGGCCTGGCCTCCTGTCATGGCCGGGTCCCAGGCTAAGCACATCAAATAGATAAATACTGCTAACCTGAATGTTCTAGGCTATGGCCCATGGTCCTGGGATGGGAGGTGTGGGACACCTTTTCCTCACAGCTGTATCTAAAAGGGGTTCCCATCAGCTGATCTCCAAGGACAAGATTGTGTCTGGGGCCTCCCAATCACTCTTGGGTGGTATTCTGGGGCTGGCCAATTCTGTGCAGGGGAATAGGAGGGGCCTGCCACCAGTTTCCCGAGGTAAACTCCGAGAGGGGGCAGACTCTCCACATCTCTAGGGTTCCCCCTGACCTGCCTTAGCCCAAATTGTGATAACCAAGAGATTTAGGATGAGTGTGGCTTGTGTACCAGCCACTGTGTTATTACGTGCCCCCAGGTTCACTCAACTGAACTTTGCCTCTCTGATCCCTTCAACAAAGAACAAGCAAGCTGAGGTCCAGGTCCCCAGAGCGCCCTTGACCAGTACAGCCCCACCCTCCAGGCTTCAACAAGGGTCAACAGTCTGCAGGAGAGGGGGAAAATCCCAGGAGGTCAGCTTGGGGGAACATTGATAGTCGTCCTTCCGTGGATGGGTCCCCCAAAGCATCCATTATTGGAGCTTCTAGCTGGAGCGGGTGGGGGGGGGGGTGTGGGGGTGGTAGTAAGATGGTCAGGTCTTCCAGGCTATGTCCCCCAATCTCCAAGCTGCTCTGCTGGTTGTAACCAAGATCCGGGAGTCCCATGGGGCCACCCCTCCCCCGGGACCGGACAGATCGGCCGTTTGCTTGTAAGCCATTAATTCTATCACAGAGACGCCGGCGCCGCCACGCGAGGACATCTGTCAGGGACCCATCGCTGTACTCCACGCCCCCTGCCGCTCCCCAGACCCAGAGCAGCGGAAAAGATGCGCCACCTCAGCTCTCCAAGCTCTAAGGTTGTTGAAGCGGGCTCGGAAGCCGTGAACCCAAAGGGGGCGGGGCCGCGGCACCCTTGGGACAAAGAGTCCCCAGCTGTTAGGGGTCTGGGCTCTGCAACCTCTCATCCCAGACAGGAAGAAGTGCCCAACTCCCTTGTTCCCAAATGCTAGAGCCCACCCAGGTTCTGACCTGAAATTTTGGGTGAGGTGGGGAGGGGGCACAGAATCCTTCTGATACCTCAGGGTGTGGGAAGGAGACACTGGCGGGGGTGGGGGGCGCAAGAAGACACTGGCTCTTCCCCTCACAGGGAACGAAGTACTTTCTTTCCCCCAAACCCTTTCAGGAGCTTCGCAGGCCAGTCTGCTCTCCACAGCCTCTAGGCAGCTGCTGGTGAATGTGTCACGCGTGGGCGATGGGTCGCAAGGACTCGAAACTGGTTGAGGGTGATCCCCATTCATGCCAGGCAGGGTGGCCCTGGGGAGTTCACACCCATAACGAGGGGGGAATTTGGAAAGAGTGCTTTGGTGTCAAGAGATCGGCCTGGGCTCTTGACCCCAGGTGGTTAACAGTCCAGATCCGGCTGTCTGGGAAGAGAAAAGTTAGGTGAGGGGTGATGACACCTCGCCCAGGCCTGAGCGGAGAGTGAAAGGAGAGGGGTGGGCAGGCGATGGAATGGGATCCATGAGAAGTGAGGAGGGTCAGCTTCAAGGCGCAGCCAAACCCAGTCCAGCAGCTTTCCCAATCCCTACAGGCTCCTGTCACAGGCGCCTATTAATAACTAGGAGCCAGGTCCTTCCAGGGAGCTGGACAGAGGCAAGACACCCGACTGGGGTGGGGGCGCGGGTCTCACAATACCAGGGCTCCAGCGACTGGAGATCAATGAGCCACACGCACGAAATCAAAGTCCCCACCACCCACTTTTTCTCCTCCTTGGACTAGGAGTGGAGGTATTCAGACTCGGGGATGCAGCGTCTGGGGCAACTTGGGGCACCACGGCCATCCCGTGCACCTCAGAGCAAAGCGACCCCTCTTCTCCCCCTCCCCCACCTAGACAGCACACTCAGCAAAGTTTCAGGTCCCCGGTGGTGCTCCCTAATCCTAGGGGGGCGGGGGTTCTAAGCTCAGGCTCTCAGATCCGCGGAGTCGGGGAGGGAAGTTTGTCCGGCCGCGGAGCTCGCCGATCGAGAACTTCGGGTGCACCCGCCTAGTGAACGCCAGTGAGTGGGGGGCGCCCTGGAGCCTCGGGCTCAAAGCGCTGCATCCGAAGCCCCCACGGGCTAGGTGGGGACACGGCCCAGATGCGGACACCCAGGGCAGGGCGCGGGGGACTGGGGCGATAGAGGAGATCAGGGCTGTGGGAGCCGTTGGGGACTCCCGCGCCACCCGGGAAGCCGGCGAGAGCGCATCCTCCCCGCCCCTCCCCCTCCAGGGGCGGGGACCTGTAGACCCCGCGTCTGCGGCAAAGGGGACCCCCGCCCGCTGCACACCCCTTCCTACCTGAACCGGGCTGCGGCCCCCAGGTCTGGAGGCTCGGTCGCCGGCTAGCAGAGCGCGCGCGCCCAAGTCCCGGGAGCGCCGCGGCGGCGGCGGCAGCGGCGGCGGCGGCGGCGGCGGTGGCTGCCCCTGCTTCCTCCTCCTCTTCCTCCTCGGGGCTCTGGCTGGCTCCAGACAGACCTCCTCCCCCGCCCGCGCTACCCGCCCCTCCCCGAGTCCGCCTGGCTTGGGGATCGGCCTCTCGCCGGGAGCAGAGAGGAGCCTGCGGGAGCCGGGCTGCGGCGCTCACTGCGTCAAGAGCCGGGGACCGCGCGATCGGAGCAGCCCCGGACCGGCCGGGCAGGCAGGGCGGCCGCGGCGCCGGCGACGCCGAAGGGGCCGGGCGGCTCCGGCTCTCGAGCTCGGGCGCGGGCGCGGCGGCAGCGGCCGCGGCGACGCGAGGCGGTGGTTCATTTTGTGAGCGCGAGGCAGGTCGGACGTGGGAGCCGCACGGGGAGGGGACCTGAGCAGGGGCGGGGGCCGTTGCACGTCGGTCGGTGGCCCGGGGAGGGGGTCAGGGCTCCCCGAGGGGAAGTTGGCTGGAGCTGTAGGGACATCTCAGGACGCCGACACAGCCTCTCCTCCTTTTCGTGGCCCTGCCGGCATCCCCTGCCCGTGCCCCAGGCCACTGAACTGCGCCGTGGAGCCCAAGTCCCCGAGTGTCATGGGGTTGGGACCCTTCCTGGCGATGGGAGGTGGGTTTGAGAAACGGGGATGTGCACGCGCGTACAGTCACGGCTGTGCACACACACGCACCCGCACGAAGCCATGTAGAAGTTGACCCCGAAGTCAGACCCTGTGTAAGCGCGTGTGTCACAGCACCACCCGCAGGGACAGTTGTTTCACCCGGACGGCGGCGGGGGAGGAGAATAGGAGGTGGTACAAGGTTGTCTGGCTCTCGAGATGTAACATCCCCTCTTCCCACCAGTGACTTGTTCCCCCCCTAAGGTCACCGACCCACTTCACAGTCCCTCCCCTCTGTATCACTTGTCACCACCCCCTTGGGCTGAGAGACCCGGAGGCGTGAGATCAGCCTGGCACCTTCCCATTCCCGGAAGGTTCCGAGTGGTGGATTTCCCCTCCCACTAGCCTCTCCCGATTCTCGGGGGATCCAAGTCGCCCCTCTGGGGCTCTGGGCCCCAGGAAGTTCACCCCGCCCCCTTTATCCTTCCCAGAACACTGACAGAACCGGTTGCCTGGTCTCCCACTCCCTACCGCGCCCCTTCCCTAGCCAGTAGCTTTGGCTTTGGGTTGAAATTCAAAATTAAGTTCAAGAGCGCCCTCGCCGGGCTAAGGCCTTGTGCGCAGCTTCCGAGCCTCCGTGCGCTTGCAGAGCTGGAGGACCCCCTTGGGCAGAGCGGATGTGACCCTTTTAGACCCCACCTCCTAGCCAGAGCACCCCAAGAGTCGAGCTCTGGGAAGCATCGCCGACGAAGCCAGGTCGCGGAGGCTAGAGCCGCAGCGCGCGGCTGGGGACCGGGACCCGAGCCCGGGATGCCCATCCTGGTCCTCTGGCCACGCTGCGCCAAGCCTCACACCACTCCCATGCCCAGACGCGACCAGAGGACCAGGATGGGTATCCCCAGGCTCAGGGCCGGTGGCCTATCCTGAGACTCTCCTGTAGGCCATAAACTCCATCCAGCCTGCGGCATCGGCAGGCGGCCCACACTTGGCAGGACCCTAGGCCTCATCCAGCCCATCTTTCATTTGGAACACAGGGGAGTGAAATCCCAGTTGAGGCCGGGGATAGAGGAAGGTCTACACCCCGCCCCTTCCGGTGGATTCTTGGACACAAAGCATTACAGTCAAGGACAGAGCTGTCCCGTCTAGTCTATCCTTGCTCGGGGCACTCAAACCTCAAGAAGAACCAGGTTGAGACTGAAGCCCCAAAGCCCAGGGTCTTAGGGTCTCTCTTGCCAGCTCCCTCAGAGTCTAGCTGTCAGTAACCTAGACAGATAGGACCTCTCCTCCCTCCTCAGCATTCTGGGAGCCATCCCTGCTCTTAGCCGGTACTGTCTGTATGCCCACCCTCAACCCCACCAACACACACAGAGCTCTTTAAGATGTTGGGGGGGGGGAGATCCCATGATGCTTGGCTGGCTAGAATGATGCACACACACCCCCCAAAAAAAGTCAGGCATCCCTCAAGCTGGGAAGGCTGGACCACAAAATTAACCCCAGGCCAGAGCCAAAGGGATGAGGCGGGAGAGAGGCTGGATTCTGAGAGCTTTCTCCCAGTGAGAGCCCTGGCTCTCTCAACTGCGCAGCCCCCCCCCCCCCCACACACGCACACACTCCACGATCCCTCCACCCCTCTCCTATTTGCCTGAACCTTGTCACCAGCAGACACATGGACCCCAGAGCATCCTGCCATGTGGACATGTTGGATAGTGAAACCACACATTTGCAGAGAAGCCTCATACCTAGTGGGCACACCCCATAATTCATCCCCAAGCTCACCCTCATGAAGAACATCGGTTCTGGCAGGAAGTAGAAGGACTCCACACACGCCTCAGGAGCCTCGTTGAGACATTGCGGAGCAGAGCCTGTGAAGCCAGTCACCAAGGCACACCCATTGCACTCTGCTCCCAGATCGCACATTCCCTGGGTCCAGAGGGTGCTCTCAGGGTACCTGGGTACCTGAGCTTATAAACTGACATGGGACTGCAAGCATCATTCTCAAGAATTCAGAAGGGCCAGATGTTTGTACTGTGGTCTATCAGACTGCGTCCCAACAAAGAAAAGAAATCACCCCACCCCACCCCGCTTTGACCTGTTCACCACCTCCTTCCCTTTTCCTCTGCTTCATCAGCTTCCTCTCTTCCTCCTCCATATCCATCTACAGGCTCTTGCTATGTAGCCCAGGCTAGCCTGGGACTCCAGTGCCCTGCCTCAGGCCCCTGAGTGCCAGAACTATAGGTATGTGCCAACAGGCCCAGCTTGCCCTTGACGTTTCTTTATCTGCTCCCACACAGGTTCCTGCACACATCTGCTTATAACCTTCACTCACCCCACACCCCACACAGGCCTCTTTGGCAAGGTTGTCTGTGGACAGAACCAGATGCAGCCATGACAACTGTCCTTCCTGAGATGAGGGTGAAGGGGCAGGCCTAGAACAGATTTAGAAGGATGGGCTCAACTCTCCCACTGGGTACATGTGGAACCCCAAGCTCAGAGCTACCCACATTGATTTCTGCAGGCTCAGCAGAGGCCCAGCCGGGGGAAAATGACTTTACATCCATTGAGTCAGTGAGATCTCATTTCTGTGGAAGGCTGAGAAGTGTAAAGGGACATTTCCACACACCACCAAAGGAAGTGCAGCCTAGAGAAAAATGGTGACAATCCCTCCTATAGCCAGAACTTCACAGTGACAATCCACAACCCCGAGAAGACCCCAAAGCCATATAAGTTTCCTCATATATAAAGAGCTCTTGCAACTCAATAAGAAAAAGGTGATAAAGGCATGGAAAGTGGGAGAGAAAGCAAACAGAAAAGGAGGGCGCGGGGAAGATCTCTCAACAAAAGAGAAGTCATCACACTTAACAAAATGCAAATGAAGCTCGGCATGACTTTTCACTCCCAAGTTGGCAAAGGTTAGACAGTTTCCCAGCTACTCTGAGGCCACAGTACAGGGAAGGAGATGCTCTGGGAACTCCTGAGAGGAGGATGTCAGAATTCCAAAGCCACACACCCTTGGGCCTGGCATTTTCTTCTAGGAATGTGTCCTCTAGATGCTTGTCACGAATTCGAAAAGTGATATATGACTGTGTGCAAGGTTGTTTGCTGAGGCACTCTGTAACAGCAGCAGATCGGAGGTGTCCTAAATACCCACAGATGAGGGAGGGCTTATGTGCCTCACAGCACAGCCAGCAGAGCAGTGCAGCCAACAGAGAGAGACCGGACACTCTGAACCCAGCTCCTCTTATCTATTTACTTATTTTCTTGTGCTGGGGACTGAAGCCAAGGCCTTGCATGTGCTAAACAAACATGCTACTACTGAGCCCTTTTTGGGGGGATTCTAGACAATTATTCTACCACTGAGCCACACCCCAGCCCCTCACTGGGGGATTCTAGGCAGGTGCTCTACCACTGAGCCACACCCCAGCCCCTCACTGGGGATTCTAGGCAGGGGCTCTACCACTGAGCCACACCCCAGCCTCTCACTGGGGGATTCTAGGCAGGGGCTCTACCACTGAGCCACACCCAGCCCCTCACTGGGGGATTCTAGGCAGGTGCTCTACCACTGAGCCACACCCCAGCCCCTCACTGGGGGATTCTAGGCAGGTGCTCTACCACTGAGCCACACCCCAGCCTCTCACTGGGGATTCTAGGCAGGGGCTCTACCACTGAGCCACACCCCAGCCTCTCACTGGGGGATTCTAGGCAGGGGCTCTACCACAGAACACCTCTAGCTACTTTTTACTTTTTATTTTAAGACAAGGTCTCACTAAGTCTAATGTGCAGGCTTTAAACTCACTCTGTAGCCCAGACTGGCCTTGAATTTGCTGTGCTTCTCACTCAGCCTCTCTAGTAGCTGGTCTGACAGGCCTGTACCACCAAGACCCAGGTCTAAGATTTTCTTTAGAGGAGAAAAAATAGCAAGAAGCAAACCAGTATATCTAGTCCGTAATTTTTGCGTTTGTTTACAAAAGACGGGAAGGAAAGGACAGGAATTTTTGCTGTG